GAAATGGAGGGACTACGGAAAGGAGGAAGATGGCCTGAGTCCCCAGCCCCTAATTGTTGCCCTTCACTGGGGCTCCAGGGCCTATGTCCTGTGTTATTGTCTGTCTGTACAGTTTTGTTATAAAACTGTCAGCCCATGCTAGAGGGCTAGGGTCAGGCGTTCACCTTTCATATTTTCACTGTTCCTAACCCTTCTGTTCTAGTTGTTGTCTGACCTGAAAGTTGTTGTCTGTCTTCTGCTTTACCTGCATAGGGGCAAACCTGGGGCAGTGCCCAGTAGGGACAGTGTTGAGGTGCCTTGTTCTCAGATGCTCTTGCATAGCCAGTCCTACAGAAAAAAAGGTACCATTTTTGGACTGAGTCATGGGAAAAAACCCTGGGGCATTGCACTTTGCAGCTCACAGTCAGTTTGGTCTTGTTTGCATTTTAACAGAAACCTTTAGAAAAAGAAAACAGATTTATCTGCTAGAGGGTAAAAATAGGTATGGCCACCTTGAGGCATTCAGGTCTGATGGCTGTAAGAGCTGGCCTTATTGATCAATAGGATGTCATTTGCTTGTTCTGTACTTTTAAAAACAGCTCACCTGGAGAAAGTGCTGGAGAAGAAATCATTGGCCCCAGTGTCTACAGGGGCAGCAGAAGTCTGGTAAGGGAACTAAGTGTCCCTGGGGTTTTGGAAGTGGACTCGAGAACTAAGAGAACAGAGTTGCCCCAATCCTGGCTGCATGGGACCTTCTTTCTCTTGAAGTGCTTGAGTTGAGTGTTCTTGGTTTTGCAATCAGGCAGCTGTAGCTGTGGCAGGTGAGGTGGCACTACACCTCATAGTCAGGGCCCATTGTCCAGCTCTGGCTCACCTGGACAGGGCCCTTGTCTCTTTAATTCTCTTCTTGGCTGAAGCCAGCGAGTGTGGGATAACTGGGTGCAACTCTCTTAGTGGTTTTCTTTATCAGTAATACATTGTAATTGTCACTGCTGTAGACTGGGACTGAGGTGGCTGGTAGCACTTGAAAATCACTGATGGCAGAAGGACAGTTACTGGAAGGCCATCTAAATGCTAAATGCTAGTGACATCAGGTAATGCAGAATGACACCCAACTAAGAGAAAAATTTAGACTTCATTAAAATAGACTAATTTTTCAAAGGCAGCAACTAAAGGAAGTCTTTTGGCAGGTGAGGAAGGGAGGAGGTTCGCGTGCCACAGGACAGTGAGCCTTTGCTCCCATCTCTCCTCTGCTCTGCTCCTCAGCCATTGCTCTGTCCCTCTGTGGTTAGATTATTCCTTGCAGATAGCAATCAACTGGAAGGAAGTGTGTGTGTCTAATTTGCATGAGATTATTTAAAACAAAAAAAAAAAAAAAAGGTCTGCATTAGTCAGGGTGATGGTAAACAACGCAAAGAGATGCCTTTTATAATATAGCCTGTGCCTTAGCTTCCAGAGCCAAATATAATTCACTTACAATTGGCAGTTTCCTTTATTATTCCTTTTAACCTTTTGGATTCTGCAAGGTCTCAATCAAAGATCTGCACTGTTTATCTCTGGGGATGGGCGGCAAAGATGGGACTAGGGCACCTGGATGTCTTCTGTGTAAGTCCCATGGCAGCACCACATCCCAAAAGGTGGGGTCATCCCCGCCCAAGAGCTGATGGCTGGGCAAACAGCTTTCCATGCTGTGGGGTGGGGAGGACCCCATTCTTTCTTAGGTCCCCAGTAACCCACCTGAGTCCTGTCAAAATCGTGGTACTGGCCAGTCCTAAATCAGAGATGCCCCAAAGGAAGAGGATACACAGGATCAGAGGTGCCCTTCTGTGAGTGCCACACAGATTTGATTTGAAGTTAGGATTTTAGAACAAGATAGGAACAAAGACACTCTGCTTTCATCAATCTGGTATTGTTCAGAAAGTTGTCCAGGTGTCCTTTGCTGTAGGAGCCAGGGGTAAGTTGCTGTGTTGTTTTGGTAATATCCCAGATGGTATTTATTGTCTCCAGCTGATAGATTGGGTCTGTGGGAGGGCAGTGGGAGGGCAGTGGGAGAAGGAAATGTAATACTTCCCTAAACCTCTTTAACAAAACTGAAGATTTAAAACATAGGTTTGGCTGGGTGTGGTGGTACACGCCTATAATCCCAGCTACTTGAGAGACAGAGGCCAGTCTGAGCAGAGGGAGTGGTTAAGGGAGACCTTATTTCACAATTTTAAGACAAGAAAGGGATGGAGATACCACTGGGTAGAAGATTTGCCGAGCATGTGTGAGGGCCAGGGTTCCGTCCCCAGCATTGTACAGGGTAAGAAAAAGACACTAAGACTGAATTTGTCACCTGGTGGTATGCTAGAGAGTCACCAGGCTAGGGATGCAGAGCCCAAGGTGGTCACTGAATGAATGTGCTCCAGATGAGTGTGGTTTGGGTCAGAGGTTCTGCCCTCTTTGGACTTTGGGTTTTTATTTGCTGAGTGAGGGCAATGACTGAGATAATGCTCTAGCTCTGAGACTGTATTATCCAGTAAGATTGTTAAAATGCTTAAAAAAAAAGAAAAAGAAAAAGAAGAATGATTCATTTATTGTAGCTAAATCAAAAGTCTGACTCCCAGAGAGGTAAGGATATCAGAATTCCAGCCCGTGTCATTTTGAGAGCAGCAAATGATAAGGTCTGAAAAACAAGCGCTTGGAAGGAAGTGCTGATGCCCTTTAAACTGAGGCCTCACTGGTGGGCTTGGCTTTGATAATGCAAGGAACATGTTTTATTAGGAAAATAGGCTACATAAAAGCTCAGGGCCAGAGGGCAGGAAAACAGGCAGAGAGTCCTGTTCCTTTACCCAGCACCAGCTCTCGGGGCCACAGCACAGCCTGTAACTTACGGTATATTTCCCCAGCGTTAAACATTATAGTACTTGTTTATATTTGAAAGAGCCAAAAGGGAAAATGAGAATGCAACTGAATGCTCCTTTTGGGAAAATTATCCTCATTTGCAGCCAGCGGCTGACAAGGCACATGAACTACCAGGTTTGTAGAATTCCATGGTGTACCAGTGACCAGCAGCCTGTGCTGATGTCGCAAATGCTGCTTTCTTCTCTGGTGGCCGCTTACGAATTGGTTAAAACAATGTCCGCCCTCCCTGCACTTGGAGAGGGGTGCCCCTTCTGATTTAGAAAGAGCGATCTGCCACCACCACACATGCAAGAGCCCGAGAGGCAACGAGTTCTGGGGAGGTGCTCCATCTGTGCCTGGCTTGTCTGTCTGTCCTGTCCCTCCTCTACCTGGGAGGAAAAATGATGGGAAAAGCAGCCCTTCTCCAATAGGGTGGGGAGGCAGCGCAGGGAAGAGAAGCATACCCTGTCCAGCCCTGGTCTACTCAACTTTAATATTTTTGTGTATAAGCTGGTAAGCACTAATAATGGATACTTTTGGAGCTTTTTCATCTCCCCTAGGAGAGCTAGAGCTGTCAGAGGCCCTCAGTAGCACCTCAGACCTGCAGTGGTGTAGCTTTGCCTGCTCTAGCTAGTGTTCCGGAGTGTGCAAGGGTGTGTGTGTGTGTGTGTGTGTGTGTGTGTGTGTGTGTGCTATGGTTTTAAATGGAGACAGACCTCATCTGCTTAGTGCAGAGAAGAGAAAGGCCCAGGGCCTTTGGAGTAGTCTGGGCACTTCCTTGAACAGGCATGGCAGGGCATGAGAACTCTGAGGGTTGGCTATAGTCAGCTCACGCCAGTGTGGTGCAGACTGAGCCTCGCTCTGAAGCATTCATGCACACCATCTATTAGCCCCTAGGCACAGAGTGAGATGCTCCACACTTTGAAGTTGCTGATCCTCAGAACCACCTCGCACTTCATCCACCCCCAGGGGCAAGTATACCATGCTGTGGGCCTCTAATGGAGAGCTGCCCACCAGATGTGGGAAAGCTCGCGGCTCCAGTTTAAAAGCTCTGTGTTGTGGCTCGACTGGAAATTGGGATTCCCGGAACAGTATGGACCAGCCTGAGGGTCTCCTGCAGACTACCAGTGACCCCCCACCCTCACCCCCTAGCTTTTCCCACTCACCACGGTAGAGCTCTTTCCTGCACATGTCACTTCCTGAATGGGCCCTTTGGGGAAGTTCTTTTCATACCCAGCACCACACTTTGTTCTGTGGGTTGCCAGGTGACCTCGTCCTCTGTCCGAGAGCCAGTGTCCCCAGTCTATTGGAAAGGATACTAGCTGGGCCCTCCCTGGAAGCGAAGCCTTGGTGGCTTTTCACTTGCCTTTCATTCCTCTCTGCACATAGCAGCCACTGCAGATGGCGCCCTGCTATTTCCTGGTGTCCCATGTGCAGCGTGGCTGAGAGTGTTGGGAGAAATTTAAAAAAAGGAAAAGAAAAACTAGCCAAAGGCGATCCAGGCAGGCTATGATAGGCTAGAGCAATAATCATCTGAAAGTTTGGGCCTGGTCTTGTTTTGATCTGTTTTCTTGTTTTATTTTCTTCTTTACATTCTATATCCCATTCATACTAATCACAGTCAGTCCTGATTTTTCTTTTTATTTCTGCATTTGTCATAAAATAAAGCAAATTATTCCCGTCTTCTGAAACGATCTAGACTAATTAGTCGTCTCACCCAATAATTAGTTTTTTGTTTCCCTGTCTGTTTTCATGCATTATTGTTAGTTTTTTCCCCTCTTTTTTTTTTTTTAACACCATTACAGATTAAAATGAGCCACATTTGCAGTTGATGGTATCTGTTTTCGGGGGAAGAATGGAGAATTGCAGTACAGAGCGACTTCAACAGCAGCAATAAACTCAAGGATAAATTAAGGAAATTGAATGAGCCACATTTGGAAGCAGTGTTGAGGCTAATATTCTGTCGCTTAAGGTTAAATTGCAACTGAGAGAGGTTCCAGAGAATCCCAAATCGGGAAGTCAGCTTACTAGGATGCCAGGCACTCTGGCTGCATGGGCCTTTCCGCACAGGGAATTCTTTTGCAGCTGTGGCCATGAGCCAAAGGTACTCACCTGCCATTCTGTGCTCTTCTCCCCAGGGCTGACAGATGAAGAGATTGACCTGGCTTTCCAGCAGTCGGGCACTGCTGCCGAAGAGCCTGCATCCTTGGGCCCGGCCGCACAGGTGGTTCCTCTGCAGCCCCCCCACCTCGTTTCGCAGTCATGCAGTAAGTCACCCACCCCAGTTCCTGCACTGCTTGACTAGGATTCAGAAGTTGGCCATGAGCAGTGTTCTGCATCTTCTGCACCTAGCATCCCAGGAGAAAAGCAGCTTTTCTCCCATTTTGAACAGAAAGCTCTTGGATTTTCCCTAAAGACACACCCAAAGCTGCTTCTACACAAGCTTTTAAGTGTATGACCAAGGTCAAAGGACCAGAATAAATGAGGCAGTGTATTGTTTCAAATATTTTGGTAATGTGCAAAAAACTATAAAGCTAGGATTGGCCTGTTCCCATCTTCTTACGCCAGTGCTTTGAATGAACTGCTTCCCAATAACGGCGCGAATGTCTGAGAGCTTGGTTCATTGTTCTTCACTCACAGGAGTCACTCATCTCCTAATTTTAGTGTTTAAAGTTACTATTCTGAGGTCAGCCTTTCCTCTGTTCCCTCTCTCAGCCTGGCTGTGAAAGTATATTCATGTGGCAGCTTGTTAAAGAACTTCAGATTCAACGTGAAGAACCTTTTTGAAAGTAACTTTTGATTATTACATAAGATCATGATCTAAGAGGGTTTTTGTTGTTTTTTAAATAAAAACTACTATTGCAGTAAATGTGCTAATAAATGTATACCTCTAAAGTACAGGCAGAACCTCTTCTTTAAACCACTTATAGAAAGTCAACAAAGGTTAAAATTGATTCCAGAGCTATGGAAAGTAGCTCAGTTTTGTTGCTGTATTGTAAGCAGCATTAGCTCTATTATCTTTCAAAATGCTTTTTCTGTAATTGTCTTCATTTTAATTGTCTATCTCAGAAGTTTTATTTTTTTAAAAAATGATATAAAACAGTGTTAGATGCCAGGTTTAAAAGGTATTTTTAAAATGAGAGATTCATTTTGGTCCCTGAACACAAGGTCTGAAGTCGTCTTTCTTGTATCTCTCAGTGGTTGTTGTGTGGCCCTGCCACAGCTGGGTGTGTGGCCCATGGGAGCCTGCAGGGCAGGGTGCTGGGTTGGCATCTGCTTTGTGTATCACAAATATTTAAATGTCTCCTTCTTTTGCTCTCCAGATAGAGCTGAGTGGGTGAGGCCGGGGCACCTGTGCCCAAGGGTCTCGCTCATCAGTGCCTTGCCTAAGAAGCCCACAGGTATTGTGACCTCTTTGGACACAGGATCAGTGCTTCTGTGGCAGGCCTGTGTTTGGGCTCCTGAGGCACTCATTAACTACTGCTTGTCAGCATGAGATTTTGTTTCTCCTTCCTGGTCAACAGTATTTCGGCCTCTTGTGTTTGCTTTGGCCCTAAACCTACTTTATACGCTTCTTTTTGAGCAAAGACTGTCTCCACCCTCTTTCCTGAGTTGTGTCCCTAGGCCCAGCCGTTTAATGGGATTTGTTGAGGATAGGCAGTGGCAGCTGGGGTGCGGAATTTTCTAAGAAGCACATCTGTTCTGTTCCAGCTGTTTCCTCCCATGGCTTAATACCAAACAGGTCTCTCGGCTACTTAGAAACTTCTTCCTCAGAACGAATTATTCTCGTTGGTCAGAGTTGGCTAAATGGCATGTGCTTACCTGCTGTCCAGGGCACAAAGGGTTGAGTCAGTAGTCTTTCTTAGGCAAGAGAATGGGGTGGGCAGCAGGGTGTTCAGTCCTGCAGACCATGCAGATCATGCTGAGGAAAAGCCTTATTCTGGATGTATTTAGGTAGGAGGGTTTCTGAGTCTCCTAGCCCTAAAAATAACATACATCTTCTTAGAAACAGACTTCTGCCTGACATTTGTATAAAAACACTGGGAATGGCACATTGAAATACCTGAAATTTTCAGTTGTCACCTCAGAACTTCGTATTTTGAGCACCGTTACTCTGCTGCTCCAGCTTTGGGGGCGACTGTGCCTTTTCACTTCTGTACTTTTGCCAAGAGGTGTCAAAACTGCTCAAAAAAAAAAAAAAAGCTTGATTTTGATTAATATAGAGAAACAAGACTTTGCCTGACTGATAATAAAACTGATAAATGACATTTGAATTACTTGTAGCGGTAATTTATTACATAAAATATCTTTTATTTGACATGCGATTAGTTGCTGGAAGCATCACTCAATCTGACTAGTTTAAACATGCTCTGAAATGAACCCCAGTAAAAACCAGGGCTGTCGGCTGCTGGCGTTATGAAATATACTAATCCTGGAGTGAGGAAAAATCTGACTTTAAATATTTAAATGATTAATTGGGTTTATATATTTTTTTTTTACCTTTCTAACCCCCTTAATTACAAGCAAACTCAGGGGAGTTTCTGAAGTAGGTGTGTAATCTGCATGCTTATCTCTGCGGCATTGTCTGCATCCAGGAGGGATTTATGGGCTCTGCTCATGTGTGTTCCTGCCCATTTTACATCGAAGTCCCGGCAGCCCTTTCCTTCCTGTTTCTTGGCTTTTTAAAGACATTCCAGCTCTGAGCCACGCCTAGAAAATGGGATTCCCTGGGCCCAGGCCCACGTGCTCCTGCATCAGGGCACGGTAGTTTGTCCAAGACCTTGCTGCTGGCGCAGACGTACTGCTGAGACCTTTGCTGGTATCTGTGCTTTTTGATGGCTGTGGCTGACCTTGAGATGTAGGGGGCCGCTAGTGTCAGTGAGGAGCACACAGAGACCTGCTTGAACAGCGCCAGTTCAGTTCCTTGTGTTTATCAAGCCCCTGTAGATGCTCAGCACTGTCCTGCAAGAGATTCTAACATGATCTTTAAGAATCTTGCAAATTCTCTGGGAAAGATAAGATAAACTCGTAGGAAAAAGATAATAATATAAGACACTGTGATACAATGCCAAAATTAATTATACGGATAAGAAATTCCACAAGATTATAGAAAAGAGAAAAATTAATGTGGGTTAAGGGAGTCAGGGAGGCTTTGTGAAAGTGGCAGGAGGTTGACACTGTGGAAGTGTCGTATCATCTGGTATGAGAATAAACCAGAGTTCTCAGCTTCAGCGAGAGTCTGATAAAATTCAGGAGAAATCAGGCTGTGATTTGAGAGATTTGACATTCTCTGTTTTACCTTTTGGTTTGACTTCGAGTGGTTTCTAGTGTGTTTGTCACTCTAGCCTGGTCCTAGACACAGAGACCTGCTAAAGGCTGGCCTAAGTGATTCATGCCCCGCTGATTATTCTTTGCTCCCAGAGAGATAAGCAGCAAGGAGCTTTGGTTATAAGCAGGGCCACTGTGAATCTGGTAGGGTAGCAATTTCTTCCTTAGGCTTGACTAGCTCCCTGCTGCCATCTTTGATAGACAATTTAGACCCTTTCATAGCCTGACCTAGGGTTTCATCTGTTCTTTGTAAAATGGGATGTAAATTTTGAGGCTGCTGAAAGGCTTTGGACCATTTGATTCACAATCTTGAGCGAGTCTTTCTCAGTTTGCTTCTTTCACAGCCACGTTTAACACCATGTACTTATCCTGATTATTTTAGCTCATGGAGCTAGCATTTATTATTGAATGCCTGCTGTATGCCAGGCTCTGTGCTGGACCCCTGGGGTGGAACTATTAACGAGGTGAAATAGCCATCTTTCCAGTACTGTGACTCATCCTTGAGACCATCAGCTTCTAAAGCTTTTTTGACTCCCAGTTTAGGGATTCTCATTCATGATTGAGGGGCTGTATTGCTTTTGGCTTGTACTGGAAGTGCCAGGTGGCAAGGGCAGGGTGTCCATGGTAGAGCAAAATGTCGTAGGCAGGGAGTAAGAGAGAGGGAAGGGAGCTCTCTTTGCTCTGTAGTTGCTCCAGTCCAGCAGGGAAAGGCAGGGAAGCCCCGCAGGCAGTGTGGTAAGGCAGAGCAGCAACGCCGGGGAGCCTGGGATGGCAGTTACAGTGAGCAGATCGTCAAGACAGGTGCATGCAGACCCAGCGGTGTGCGGGTCAGAGCTGGAGCAGAGGGAGGCAGCTGTCATCAGCCTCACAAAGGACACCCAGATGTGGGAACATGGCACCTGATTATTTTTGAAGCTGTTACCTATCTAACCATATAATTCTTAAAACCAGTGTTAAAATCACTTGTATGTATTACACATATGTAAGGTGTACCAGACTCCTCGTGTTTTTGCCTGACCCTCCTTGCTGTTTGTCCAGGTCGGGTCAGCTGTGGGCTCCCCTTGTACGTCTGCCCACGTCTCTCAGCCCTGGCTCCCACGACATTATACTTAAATGTTATTTCAGTGTCTTCCCCATTAACTGTGGTTCTGAGGCTTTTTTTTTTTTTTTTAATTTAATGTCTTAAGACTCTGACTTAGCAGGTGTTCCAGAATGCTGCTTGAATGGATAAGTGGTGGTAGAAATGTGTTTGAGAATTGCAAGGCTCTCCTATAAAGCATTAGAGTGGGCCAGCAGCCCTGGAAGCCCATTATGGGACTTTCTGTGTACCCAACCCTCAGCCCTCACAGGCCATCCTGTGGGGGGAAGTAGGGCACCAGCCTTGCTTCCAGGAGCTTCTGTTTAATGAGAGAGGAGTCTGTTGCCTGAGGAAGGGCCGAGTAGACTAACCCATGCTCTCTTGTGTGCTGTGTTGAGAAGAGACTCCGGCACAGAATTTAGGAAGAACAAAAGAAGTTCCAGAATGATATCTTAGGCAAGGCTTCCAGAGGGAGTGGGACTTAAACTGGCCTTGAAGGTCAGTAAGTATCTGGACCTAAGAAAAGAGAAGAATTTTTCTGTTACGTAAAGGTCAGGCATCCAGGTCAGCATGGAGGCCCTAGAGAAGTGGTGGCAAACCCATAGCAAGTGTGTCATAACAGGTTGTTAGCACTGAACACTCCAAAAGCTTCTCCAGCACTGCCCTAGAGTTTTCCCTGGTGCTTTGCATCCTTGACAGCTGGCTGGAACCCATCTTTGGTCCACCCTTCCTGTTCCACCTCCAGCTGTTCTTCAGCCATCTTGCCAGTGAGAAGGAGCAGAAAGAAAGAGAGAGCAGGCTGCCTTTTGAGGTCATGTTCTGGAATTTGCCTGTGTGACTTGCACTTTGGCCCCATCAGTTGGCGTGGCCTGTCTGCAAGGAGGGCTGGGAAGTATAGTCCTGATCTGTAGGAGCATGTTCTCAGCTTTTTAGCTGAAAGTGTGAGCTCAGATAAACTAAGTTCAGGGTGATGGCATTAGTCATGTTCCTTGTCACTGGGACAGAATACATGAACCCACCACTTAGAGGAGAGGTTTATTTTATTTATTTATTATTTTAAATTTTTATGTATTTGGTACAGGGTCTCACTACGTAGCTCAGACTCACCCACCCCAGTGCTGGGATTACAGGCATGTGCCACCATGCCTGGACTCCATGGGTGGCTCAGTGCACCCTGAGGGCAGGGCTGGTGCAGCATGTGGGACAGGAGATCGAACCCTGGTCCCTGTGCTTGCCTAAGTAGGCGCTTAATCTGCTGAGCTCTGTCGCTGGCCCAGGAGAGGTTTTTTTTTTTTTTTTTACTCACTGTTTATAAAGGTTTCAGTTCACAGTTGGCTGGCTGCAGGGCTGAGCAGCACAAAGCGTCTGGGTGGAGGAAAGCTGCTCACACTGTGGTGGACAGGAAGCGGAGTGAATCAAAGGGGAAGATCCCTCCAGGTCATGCCCCCAGTAACCACTTCTTCCTACCCAGTCCCACCTCCTAGCAGCAAGTCAATTGCAAGTCCTCATAATCCAGTTACCTTTGAACAGCCCTGCTGAAGATCACACGAGGCTTTGGAGGGACATTAGGTATAAACTACATGGCTGGCTACAGTGATGTTCAGAAAGTTTTAGCTGGTAAATTAGATGGGGTTAGGATTGCTAATTTTCTTCTTTGTCATATCATATAAATATTAAACTATTCTCTTCTGAGTCAGATCTTTCATGGTGTGTCTTGCAAAGCAGCATTAGAATCCAGATCTCCTTCCCAGTACTTGGGAGGCTGAGGCAGGAAGAATGTTGTGAGTTACAGACCACCCTAGGCTACAGAGTGAGCTCACAGCTGAGCTGCATAGCAAGACTCTCTCTCAAAAAGAAAAAGAGAATCCAGACCTTCCCTTTTCTCTCCCCCTCATCTGCTGTGTGGAGACCTGAGCACGCACACTTTGTGGTGCTGGTGTCATCCACCACTGATATCTGTGAACTCCTTTCTTTAAAAAAAAAAACTAAACAGAC